AAAAACCCTGTCAGGTTTCCTATCACTTCTTTTGCTATAATAGAATAGAATGGAATGGAATGGAATGGAATGGAATGGAATGGAATGGAATAGAATAGAATAGAATAGAATAGAATAGAATAGAATAGAATAGAATAGAATAGAATAACAGAGTTGGAAGGAACCTTTGAGGTCTTCTAGTCCAACCCCCTGCTCAGGCAGGAGACCCTATACCATTTCAGACAAATGGTTGTCCAATCTCTTCTTAAAAACTTCCAGTTTTGGAGCATTCACAACTTTTGACAGGATATATCTTTGATTTTGCCTCTTTGCAAATAGCCCAATCCAAATAGTTGTCATAATCTTTTACATTCAAACCTATACCCAGGTCAGGCACTTTCTGCAATACAAGTAGTCCTCAACTTACAAAAATTCAATTAGTGACCATTCAAAGCTACAACGGCACTGAAAAAAGTGACCTATGACCATTTTTCACATTTGTGACCGTTGCAGCATCCCCACGGTCAGGTGATTTACATTTGGGTGTTTGACAACTGACTTGCACTTATGATGATTGCAGTCTCCTGGGATCACATGATTTCCCTTTTGCGACTTTCTGACGAAGTCAATGGAGAAGCCAGATTCACTTAACAACCATGTTATTAATTTAAAAGCTGCAGTGATTCGCTTCACAACGATGACAAGAAAAGTCATAAAATGGGGCAAAACTCACTTAATAAATTTCTCACTTTGACAACGTACATTTTGGGCTTAATTGTGGTCGTACATTGAGGACTGGCTGTACTTTAAATCTTGATTGACCCAGACTTTTGTGCAACAAATATGCACACCCACTGTGCTTTGTTTCACTAGAAAAGACTGTTAGCACACTGCCCCCAGTTTCCTGGTGGTTCAAAACATATAAATTGTTCAGTTTCAAACTTTATGCACACTCTGTTATTCTTTGTGACCTTGCATGTACCCTTTGCAAAAATTACTTCATACCCTTCGTTGTCTAAGCAAGGCCCACTCAGCAAATCGTGAACTAAATCTGCTACACATAAAACCTTATCAAACAACTTACCAACACATGGCTCATATATTTTTGACTGCCACTTACAAACATTGTAGTTCACACAAGGTTACATTAACATATCAGAGAGGTATGTTAAGAGGCATTACAACACATGGAAGACTATATGCAATAGATTTTTGGAACAAATTATTATTGCTCCTTGCCCCTGTATAGAAGAATGATTACTATTGGCCAGGCTTACATATTCCTACTCAGCTGGTTCTAGAATGGAAAAAGAAATGGCAGTTATTTACAATATGCTTACTTGCCCTATTCTCCAGCAACCAAATAACTTTAGAGTCTATGTTGGTTACCTTCACCACAGAAATCTGTGTGTCTTCCTTCTTCTGTCATGCTGTCGCTCTCCTGTTTGTATCTTTTAATCTTCTTACTGGGCAATTTCTCTGGATATGTTGAGTGAATCCACATGCAAAGAAACCTTTCATTACACAGACTTTATCCCCCCCCCCCTTGTTATCTCTCTGAAATGCTGTCTCTTTTCTGACGGAGTTGCAAATTATTATGGTTTCTCTGGCTTGCAATGTTTCTCTTTAATCTTTTCTGCTCTTCTTTCAAAAGCCTCCCAGTTATATAATTCATAGTTAAATCAGACTCAAGGCTTATTAACACGCCTTGTGTATCGTTAAGGGAACTTAGCACAATATACACTTTGTATCAACGCTGCTAACATCGGATGTTTTTGCGTTGACAATAGATGGAAATGTAGCAATCTTTTCCCTTTTCCATATAGAGTTAGATGATGCTGGGAGGGGGAATGTGAATGAGAGTCCAGCTAGACATAACAACACTAAACCTAGTGTGAGAATCAAGGTTATTGAGCCCAGAGTTGATAATGAATTGGCCGGCTGGAGAGCTGGAAAGGAAGCCCGGCCTTCAAGCTAATTGTGGAATGTGATTTATGTCTGTTAATTGGAGGAGGGAATTGTGTTTTGCTACTAGGTGCCCAGGGGAGGAGAATTCAGTTTTTGGCTTGATTATGTAGTCCTGGTATTATGCTATGCGAATAAAAGATCCTTTAAGGTAAAAAATGCCTCAAAGGTCTTTTGAAGAGTTTCATCTGTCAGAACCATAACACTTTATGGTTCTGAAAACCATAAATGGTGTGCTTCTGAAAACACCATTCCTCACTCTTCTAATTCAAGGAAGATTTTCCTCATGAACTGGAAGTGATCCGACAAACTTTCTCTGGACTTTAGCTTTGCTCTATAAAGTTACTGCACCTCAATGTTTGTCAACGTTGGTGACTTTAAGAAGTGTGGACCTCAATTCCCAGCATTCCCCAGCCAGCCGTGACTAGCAGGGGAATTCTGGGAGGTGAAATCCACACCTCTTAAAGTCATCATGGTTGAGAACTGCTGACATATCCATCAAATCAGCACGACCTCTGTCTTTCTGGGTTCTTCAATCTTCCGTAAGGAAAAACGGTGTTCAGAGAGGTGAATAGATGACCTTTTAGATCCCCTCCAACAGTTGTATGCTCCCCCAATGTCAACATTATTCTGTAGGCAAGAATAACATTGTTCTGTAGGCAAGCTTTTTCCTAGTGCAGTGGTTCTCAACCTTTTTAATGCCGCGACCCCAACCTGTCATAAGTCGAGGACTACCCAACTGGTCATAAGTCGAGGACCTTCCCTGCCCGGGAGCGCCGCGCATGCGTGGTGCCGCCCCCTACGCCGGCCGAGGCGTAGCTGGCAAGCGGCAGAGACGGCGCAGGGCGACCACCGGCTGGGCCACCAGTTGGCCCAGCCCAAGGGAGGTAAGGCACCCGCCGGGCCCCACGCATGGCAGCAACCTTCCGTGCGCCCGCTGGCCTCCCACCTCCCACCCCTGGCCCTCTTTTACTTACATTTTTAGTAGTTGCTCAGCAGGGAGGGGTGGAAGCTTCCAGACAGCCCACCTTCACTGCAGACAACTTGCAGCACCGTTTGCAGAATGGGACTTTTGGCGGGCTCAGCAGGGCAAAGACAGCCTGGACAATTCCTGTTGGCTTTTGAAAGCCAATAGAATTAGACTCTATTCAAGAGAGTCTATTCTGTTGGCTTTCAAAAGCCAATAGAATAAAAGGGAGTAGCACAGCTAAGGAAAGGGGGGAAAAAATGCCGGACTGCGTTGTTTGGCGACTCCCGTGAAATGGTCATTCGACCCCAAATGGAGTCCCGACCCACAGGTTGAGAACCACTGTCCTAGTGCATGAAAATCTGCAGGCCTCTTACATTGTATAACCACAAACATTTAATTCAGTGATGGCGAACCTTTTAGAGACCGAGTGCCCAAACTGCAACCCAAAACCCACTTATGCATTGTCGGGTGCCGGGTGGGTGTGGCCCATTGGCTGGGTGTGGCCAATTGGAGGTGTGGCCCATTGGGTGGGCGTGACTGCAGTGGTAATGGCAGGCTGAGTGGGACTACAAAGTTCAATCAATCAATTCCAACTTTGCAAGATCTTTTTTTTTCCTGCGAGAAGTTGAAATTGACTGATTGATTGAACCTTTTTTTTTTTTTTTGCACATGGCAGCAGAGGCCTAAAGCAAAAAGGTTTTATAAAACCCAGCTGAAGGCCTAGGACTGGGACGACAGTGCACGTGCCCACAGAAAGGGCTGTGAGTGCCGCCTCTGGCACCTGTGCCATAGGTTCACCACCACTGATCTAATTCTTCGGTGCTGTGCTACACCTTTCCTAAACAATTATTTTGCATTTAAACCTGCATCTTTAATATGGCGTCCTGCTTCACCTCTGGTTTCATGGCCCGGTGAAAACAGGGTCTCCTGCTTGAGCAGAGGGTTGGATTAGAACAGAGGTCCCCAACTCCTAGGCCAAGGATAGGCAACCTTGGCTCTTTTATGCCTCGTGGACTTCAACTCCCAGAATTCCTGAGCCAGCCATGCTGAGGGGAAAGCGAGAGGTTTCCATGCTGAGCCATGCTGGCTCAGGAATTCTGGGAGTTGAAGTCCACGAGTCATAAAAGAGCCAAGGTTGCCTACCCCTGCCCTACGTGGTCCCATAACTGCATGTTAGGGGGCTTGGCAGGCCAAAAACCAGGCCGTGTAGAAATGGGCAAGCACGCATGCCGAAGCTCCTCTCGCATGAGCATGCAAAGCTCCATCACGTGAATTGGAGGCTGTGCGCTCGCAACGCTTGCACAAATGGAGCTGCGTGCACGTGCATGTGCCTCTCATTCACACCTTTCCTCCCCCCAACCCCTCAGCTCTGCCTTTTTACAAGTAATATAAGTTGTAGCTTGCCAGCCTATCTTTGCATGCAGTCCTTGACTTATGACCACAATTGAGCCAAAATTTATGTTGGTAAGGAAGACATTTCTTTATGATTTTCTTTGCCAGAGTGGTTAAGTAATTCATTCTCTTCTCCTTCTCTTCCATCTTCTTCTCCTCTTCCTCCTCCTTCCTCTCCTTTTCTCTTTCTTTTCTTTATTTGTTTCTCCTCCTCCTCCTCTTCATTCCCTCCCGCTCTTTCTTCTCCTTCTCTTTCTTCTCCTCCTCCTTCCCTTTGTTCTTCTCCTCTTTCTTTCCTTCTCCTCCTCATTGCCTTCTTCTTCTGTCCTCTCCTTCTCCTTCTTCCCTCCTTCTCCTCCCATTCTCCTTCTTCTCCTTTTCTCCTTCTTCTCCATTCTCCTCCTCCTCTCCTCTTCCTTCTTTTACTTTTTCTCTTTCTCCTCCTCCTCCTCCTCCCCCCCTTCTCCCTCTATCCCTCTTCCTCCTCTCTGACTAATCTACACTTTCCCAGGCTTTGGGCCTGGCCTCCATTTTTCCAAGAAGCGACTTCTATAACTGATTATTCAAACCCGAAATGATAGCAGATACATAGCCCACAGAATCAGATAGCCCTAAGTCATGTTTTCCAGCTGTCAGCAGGACTGTATAAAGAAGGCAGCCCTGCACGGAGGACAGGACCCCCGATCTTCTTTCTCTGGCTTTGCAACATCTACCGTCGAGCCAAAATGGGTGATGCTTGGAGACTCTGTTCCCCTTTTGATTGCTCTCCTGTCCACCTCTTTGGTAAGTAGCTGGAAAAGCTGTTCTCCCAGGGGTTTCCATCTTCCATGAAGGAGGTAAGGAAGAAATGAAAGCAGGCAGAAACGGGTCCTCTGGTCCAACCTCTGCTCAACTCAGGACTTCTTAGACAGGTTTATGGTGATTCTCAGTCATCCCTGGTCATGCTTATCCCAAAGCTGCTTTCCCAAAAGGCAACAGGACTTTCTGGGTTTTTTTTCCCCCTTGAAATGAGAAAAAAAACCTTAACTTTTTTTCTTAGTGAGGTCACTCCTGGAATCCTGCATCCAGTTTTGGTCCCCACGTTACAAAAAAAGATGCTGAACCTTTGGAAAAAGTGCGCAGAAGAGCAACTAAGATGATTAAAGTCCCGAAGACTTAAACATTTGAAGAATATTTTCAGGAATTGGGTAGGTCTCTTCTAAAGAAAAGAAGGACTTGGTGGTAACACGATAGCAATATTTCAGTATTTGAGGGGCTGCCAAAAAAAAAGAGGGGGTAAAGGTATTTTCCATAGCATCCCAAGGCAATACAAGAAGCAACGGATGGAAACTAGTCAAGAAGAGAAGCTGGACTACAATAAGAAAATGGATTGAAGAAATAATAGACCAACCCATAGACTGGAAACCTGAGGTCTTTTTGCTGGGTATTTTAAACAGAAAATATAGTAAAGAAATATGGTACTTAATTTTACATATAATAACGGCGGCAAGAATAGCATATGCACAGTGCTGGAAAAATGAGAATATACCATCAGAGGAAGAAGTGATAAGAAAAATCCTGGACTGTGCTGAGATGGACAAATTAACAAAAGAGATAAAAGAAAAGGAAGACACAGAGTACTATATAACATGGAACAAGTGGTATGACTGGTGGAGACTAGAAATAATAGAGGAGAATAAATATGGAAAGGTCAAAAGTGAAAATATGTGTATAATAATGTATAATAATAATAATAATATGAATTATTCTTAGTAAGAAGTAGAATATGAAGGAAGAAAAATGTAAATAAGAAACAATGGGGCAATAAGGACAAATATTCTAAAGAAGAATAAGGAGGGAAATGTAAATAATAGAAGATTACCGTTACGTAATCGCTGTTAAAAAAAGGGGGAGGAGTATATACTGTGTGTGTATGTGTGTTATGTTATGTTTTGTTTTGTTTTGTTGGTTAAAAATAAAAAAAAAGAAGAGAAGCAACCTGGAATTAAGGAGAAACTTCCTAACAGTGAAGACAATTAACCAGTGGAACAGCTTGCCTCCAGAAGATGTGAATGCTCCAACACTGGAAGTTTTTTAAGAAGAGCCTGGACAGTCACTTGTCTGAAATGGTATAGGGTCTCCTGCTTGAGCAAGGGGTTGGACTAGATGACTTCCAAGGTCCCTTCCAACTCTCTTCTGTAATTAACATTTTGCTTCTCATGCAAGAAGCTTCTTCAGTTCTAACTGAACGGTGGGGAATGGAAGGATTTATATTCTTTGCAGTCCCGTGAAGGTTCCCCACTCACTTGCACTCTGATTCAAGGGACTCTGAGAATACAGATAAACCCCCAAGTGGCCTCAATGACTCTGGGAGAGTTAACAACCAGATAACTGCAAAGAATATAAATCCTTCCCTTCCCTTCCCCTTCCCCAGTTAGAATCGAAGAAGCTTCTTGCATGAGATGCAAAAGGTTTTCAAAGGAAAAAACCCAAAAGAGTCCACTTGCCTTTTGAAAAAGCACCTTTGGAATGACTCCCTACGCAGGGAGAACAATTAATCAGTGAAACGATTTTCCTCCAGAAGTTGTCCATGCTCCATTCCTGAAGGCATTTGTCCAGATTGGTATAGGGCAGGGGTAGGCAACCTTGGCTCTTTTATGACTGGTGGACTTCAATTCCCAGAATTCCTGAGCCAGCATGGCTCAGCTTAGAAACTCTCCCTGTCCCCCTCAGCGTGGCTGGCTCAGGAATTTTGGGAGTTGAAGTCCACGAGTCATAAAAGGGCCAAGTTTGAAGACCTCTGCTCTACAGGTACAAACCAGTAGTTCCACCAGATGTAGAGTTGGTCTAGAGCAGGGGTAGGCAACCGGGGTTCTTTTATGACTCATGGATTTCAACTCCCAGAATTCCTGAGCCAGCCATGCTGAGGGGAAAGGGAGAGGTTTCCATGCTGAGCTATATTGGCTCAGGAATTCTGGGAGTTGAAGTCCACGAGTCATAAAAGGGCCAAGGTTGCCTACCCCTGGTATAGGATCTCCTGCTCAAACAGGAGGGGTTGGATTAGAAAACCTCTAAGGCCCCTTTCAACTCAAGTTTTATGTTCTAAAACTGGCTCTCCCCCAGTATCAGGGTCTGGGAAGGCCATCATCCCCTGCCAGTCTTTTAGGACATGAGATGGGAGTGGTAGTCCCTCGCCTTGGGAAGGTAACAGGCCAAGGACACAGTAGTAGGCTGGCAGCGCTAAGCAAAATCCCCAGGAATCTGACAGGGCCTGATGTTTACATTTATACCTTATTCCATACCATGAGGACTAGCATCTTTCTGAGCTTTTAAGGGATCGGAGCCTAGCCAAGGGGTGGAATGTTTACTTCGGTGTGCAAATAGCTTCAGTTTTATTTCTCAGCTTCTTTGGTCAGTCTCACTTTAAGGCACACTGGACAGGAGATACGGGGTTTCATGCCTGAGCAGGGGGTTGGACTAGAAGACCTCCAAGATCCCTTCTAACTTTATTATTGTTATTATTTCCTACTTCATCTTCCCTTTGGTGCTTTCCATATGGATTTGAGGGACCAAATGGCAGAAGAACTTCTGAAGAAGTTCAGGGACCCAACTCCCTACGGTCAGGCCAATGAATTGCTTTGCATTGTTTTCTCAGGCAGTTTCCTCAAAGAAGTTGCTTCTTTACTCTTAACCACCCATACAAGAAGAGGATCTGGGTAGTAGACCAAGGGGCATCAGCAGGACTGAACAAGATGTTAGAGCAGTGGTTCTCAACTTTTTTAATGCCGCCACCCCCAACCGGTCGTAAGTCGAGGACTACTCAACCGGTCGTAAGTCGAGGACTGCTCAACTGTTGCAGCACCGTTTGCAGAATGGGACTTTTGGCGAGCTCAGCAGGGCAGAGACAGCCTGGACAATTCCTATTGGCTTTTGAAAGCCAGTAGAATTAGACTCTATTCAAGAGAGTCTATTCTATTGGCTTTCAAAAGCCAATAGAATAAAAGGGAGTAGCACAGCTAAGGAAAAGGGGGAAAAAATGGCGGACTGCATTGTTTGGCGACCCCCGTTAAATGGTCGTTCGACCCCAAATGGGGTCTCGACCCACAGGTTGAGAACCACTGTGTTAGAGAATACAGGGGTACCATGGTACTCAACTACTTTGAAACTCATTGAATTTTGTACGCGAGGCATTTTAATGCAAACATTTTTGTCCCGATACTCATCGTTTGTTTGGTACTCAATGCATAAACTAGAACTTGTGGGTGTCAGCTGCCTTGTGACTCACTGATATTATTCCTTATTGGGAAAAATTGTTTGTTACTCGTTGTTTGGGTACTCATTGTGCTTCCCACAACCAATTAACGACGGGTACTGAGGCATCACGATAACAAAAAGTAACAGAATAACCGGACAACAGGATAACGGGAGAGGAGGATAATAGAAAAACAGAATAACAGGAATACAGGATAATAGAATAACAGAATAATAGGACAGCAAGTAACAGGGTATCAGAATAATAGAAAAACAGAGTTGGAAGGGACCATGGAGAAGGGACCCCCTACTCAAGCAGGACACCCTAGCTCAGTGGTTCTCAATCTGTGGGTCGGGACCCCATTTGGGGTCGAACGACCATTTCACGGGGGTCGCCAAACAACGCAGTCTGCCATTTTTTTCCCCTTTTCCTTAGCTGTGCTACTCCCTTTTATTCTATTGGCTTTTGAAAACCAATAGAATAGATTCTCTTGAATAGAGTCTAATTCTATTGGCTTTCAAAAGCCAATAGGAATTGTCCAGGATGTCTCTGCCCTGCTGAGCCCGCCAAAAGTCCCATTCTGCAAACGGTGCTGCACCAGTTGAGTAGTCCTCCATTTACGACCGGTTGAGTAGTCCTTGACTTACGACCGGTTGGAGGGTCGCGGCATTAAAAAGCTTGAGGACCACTGGCCTAGCTGCTATGTTAATAACACAGTTAAGTGGGGTCAAGTGATCTCCATTTGGGATCTTCCCAGCCAGCATTTGCTCAGTGACCAAGTGATTCACTTAACAACTGCAGTGATTCACTTAACAACCCTGGGGGGAAAATAATAAAATGGGGGATGACTCCCTTAACAACTGCCTTGCTTAGCAACAGAAATTCTGGTCCCCATTGTGGTTGTAAGTTGGCGACTACTTACAGTTGCAAAAAAACCTGCATAGCTGGTTTCGAATTTAATCCTGGTTTCTTACATTCTTGCAATCTGGAGTGTTCACCCAGCACACTGAACTTGAAACTAACAGGGTCTGCCTTACTAGACACACTAGGCCAGGGGTAGGCAACCTTGGCTCTTTTATGACTCGTAGACTCAGCTTCCAAGCTGAGCCATGCTGGCTCAGGAATTCTGGGAATTGAAGTCCATGAGTCATAAAGCGGCCTAGGCCTAGGCCAGAGGTAGACAACCTTGGCTCTTTTATGACTCCTGGACTTCAATTCCCAGAATTCCTGAGCCAGCATGGCTCTGCTTGGAAACCTCTCCCTTTCCCCTCAGCATGGCTGGCTCAGGAATTCTGGGAGTTGAAGTCCAGGAGTCATAAAAGAGCCAAGGTTGTCTACCTCTGGCCTAGGCCTAGGCCGCTTTATGACTCATGGACTTCAATTCCCAGAATTCCTGAGCCAGCATGGCTCAGCTTGGAAACTTCTCCTTTTCCCCTCAGCATGGCTGGCTCAGGAATTCTGGGAGTTGAAGTCCACGAGTCATAAAAGAGCCAAGGTTGCCTACCCCTGGTCTAGGTCTATCTATCTATCTATCTATCTATCTATCTATCTA